TTTAGTGCTTTGAATATACCTTCCTGTCCTATTGTCGTCTATATCACTTCCTGTCCTAGTGTCGTCAATATCACTTTCTGCTTTAGTGCTTTGAATATCTCTTCCTGTCCTATTGTCGTTTATATCACACAATGCCCTCATGTCGTCTATATCACTTCCTGTCCTAGTGTCGTCTATATCACTTCCTGTCCTAGTGTCGTCTATATCACATTCTTTCCTCATGTCGTCTATATCACTTCCTGCTTTAGTGCTTTGAATATCTCTTCCTGTCCTATTGTCGTTTATATCACACAATGCCCTCATGTCGTCTATATCACTTCCTGTCCTAGTGTCGTCTATATCACTTCCTGTCCTAGTGTCGTCTGTATCACATTCTTTCCTCATGTCGTCTATATCACTTCCTGCTTTAGTGCTTTGAATATACCTTCCTGTCCTATTGTCGTTTATATCACATAATGCCCTCATGTCGTCAATATCACTTTCTGCTTTAGTGCTTTGAATATCCCTTCCTGTCCTATTGTCGTTTATATCACTTCCTATCCTAGTGTCGTCAATATCACTTTCTGCTTTAGTGCTTTGAATATACCTTCCTGTCCTATTGTCGTCTATATCACTTCCTGTCCTATTGTCGTCAATATCACTTTCTGCTTTAGTGCTTTGAATATCTCTTCCTGTCCAATTGTCGTTTATATCACACAATGCCCTCATGTCGTCTATATCACTTCCTGTCCTAGTGTCGTCTATATCACATTCTTTCCTCATGTCGTCTATATCACTTCCTGCTTTAGTGCTTTGAATATACCTTCCTGTCCTATTGTCGTTTATATCACATAATGCCCTCGTGTCGTCTATATCACTTTCTGCTTTAGTGCTTTGAATATCCCTTCCTGTCCTATTGTCGTCTATATCACTTCCTGCTTTAGTGCTTTGAATATCTCTTCCTGTCCAATTGTCGTTATATATCACAATGCCCTCATTTAGTGCTTTGAATATCCCTTCCTGTCTATATTGTCGTTTATATCGTCTATATCACCCTCTTTCCTCGTCGTCTATATCACTTCCTGCTTTAGTGCTTTGAATATCCCTTCCGGTCCTATTGTCGTCTATATCACATTCTTTCCTCATGTCGTCTATATCACTTCCTGTCCTAGTGTCGTTTAGTATATCCCTTCCTGTCCTATTGTCGTTTATATCACATTCTGCCCTCATGTCGTCTATATCCCTTCCTGTCCTAGTGTCGTCTATATCACTTCCTGTCCTAGTGTCGTCTATATCACTTCCTGTCCTAGTGTCGTCTATATCACTTCCTGTCCTAGTGTCGTCTATATCACATTCTTTCCTCATGTCGTCTATATCACTTCCTGTCCTAGTGTCTTCTAGTATATCCATTCCGGTCCTAATGCCCTCTGTATAAAATCCTACTCGTTTTATGTCTATATCACTCACTTCCTTTCCAAGTGATGTAAATACCACTTCCTACCTTAGTGCTTTAAATGCTCTTTCTCTCCTTGTGTTCTTTGGATCACTGCCTGTCCTGGTGCAATATATGTCACTTCCTGGTAAGAGTTTTAAATATACACCAAGTCAACTAAATATATCAGTCACTGACGGAAAAAACGTGTGAAGAATATCATCCTGCAGTTGAAACGAGCACTTTAAGATGATTAACCTCTAGCGCGATTTGATTGTTTTTAACCCAATAGTGTGAGGCGAAGGAGCAGGGGCGACAACTCTAACAACTGTCTCGGCTAGTAGGCTTTCTTTGACATATGCGAGCCTTTACTTGCATTTTCTTTACCATTGCGACAAAAACATAATCATCCTCGCACTGACTATATCCAACCGAAAACCGAAAATCCAGGAGTATTAGGGTTTTATTTCCTAATGTTCGTGTGAAATAAAGAGGGGTTTTATCGGCGAAACAATAAACTAATCCTCGTGGTTAGCGATGACGTAAGCGAGGGAGTCTAAACACGGTCTTTGGGATTTTAACGAGGTACAGTGGTAACAAACTCCATTCCAAGAACGGCCTTCATAAATGTTGGTGTATATGCAGCCTCAGGGCATTGTTTCGACTGTTTGAAAGTGATAAAATATAATTTAGGGTGAAACTGACATAACAGATCACGTGATCGTTTCTCTTGGGTAAAATAGATATTAACAAGGAGGAGAAATGTAAGGTAAAGAAGGTCTTTTTTCCCATACAGTAAAGAATATTTTGGCATTTCATGAGTCTTACAATGCAAAGTGTTCTTTGAGTCATAAACCTTTTTTCACCAGGGCTCAAAGAAGTGTCAAACTATGCATATCCAATCGCAATTGATTAGCGTTGAGTTTTCTTATTGTGATTCGAAATTATTGCTCTTGACGTTTCTAGGATGCACCCAGCACTGCATATATTCCAAAGTTCATGAATACAGTCCGAGTTGGACAGAGTGCACTGTACTTTCTCAATAGACAGCATATCCTCACCAAGTTAATGACTCCACTGATATCAACACTGCAGTGGACCAAGTGAACTAACCAAAGTCCGAAAGAAATATTACTGACATTAATATATTTGGTTATTCATTTTGGAACCAAAATACGAAAATGCGATGATAACAAATTTAGTTTAACCGACCATTTGCTATGATGCAGTATTTTGGACAATATCGATATGGATCGAATTTGGATCGACAGAACAATCAATGTATTGCAGCTGTCTTTAACACTATATCGACAAGAAACGATATCAACAGTTAACATCGTTGTATCGATTGTGTATCGGTACAAATATCATCCATCAGGAATCGGACATTAAATGGCGATTAAAATACATGGTAACCGTGCTTGAAATGTATATTACTCATTACTTTATTAAATACTTCCTGCAGTTCTCCCCAAATGGTCCTGAACCTTGGCAGTAACTAACGTGCAACTATTTTGAATAATGCATGTGGGCGTACACTTCATGTGGGTAGAATACGTCAACAGAAACAAGCCCACTTTTCATTTTCTTTTTCTAAACATCCAATCCCTCTGTATAATTTCACTGAGCCATTGTCCGTCCTTTTTAAAATTAATAACGAATCACGCCGACATTGTCCGTCGCTGTGTATAATCACGGATTACCATGACAACACCTTATGTTATAATAACAATCTAAAGAAATACATAGAGAGCTCCAGTAATCACCATATCAGTCCCAGATAGAGGTTTGCTATCAGAGCCTCGGGCTCGTGTTAAGTCGCATAACTTGAGACGGTATAATCTGGTGAACGGAGTGTGGCTGAGGATAGATGAGCTGAATATATTTCCAGAAGAAACAGCGCAGTAGCCCCAAGACACGGTATCTGAGAACAACATCAGCGAGGGAAGACCTCGCTTCTCACAAGGCGTCTCTGTCAATAGTTCTACCTACAACTACCCAGAACCACTGGAATACAGAGTACTTACCAAACATTTCATGTCAGGAATGATTCGAGGACTTTCCAGGAATAATTCCATATTTGGTCAGATTACATTGAACGGCTTTGTATTGTCTAGGAAAGTGTATGATATACACCTAGAGTTTGGAATTTGGAAACGTCCACCAAAATTGTGAAACGTTTCGAAATTGAATCCTTTTATTCGATGTTGCTATTAAATGCTATCATTTTATAGAGAGCCAGCATATATTGGTTAGCTGCATTCCTGAATATCTGAAAAGTAAGGTCAGCACAGTATCTCCCGGAATGATAAACTCTATATGTGAAATGAACTGTTTCAGAGGCATGCTAGAAGCTGTGGTATACGGTTCTGGATACAAATGGTATCACTTGTATTTACTTAGCATAGAGAACAGCCCCAATAGTTTGATATTCAGGGTACTAATATACAGTTGACAGGTGTGTTAGGAAACACACCTCTACAGGCATCACAATTGTCAGGAACCGTCTGCAAGTGCCATCACGACCACGCTACTGTACGTGTCTCACCACGTGTATTGTACACAAAAATAGACTGCCGTGAGACATAATCAGCTCTGTTCAAAACATGTACAAAACAAACAAACCGACTCCAGAACTGTATTGAGTGTTTCATCAACATCCACCAGTCAACACTATGTCCAGATGGAGATACATGTCACAGTTACCGAGGACTACACAGAGTGAACCACCGCAAGAGAATAACATGCAGACACCAACACTACCGGGGAATACAGATATATAAACTGTCAGTCCATACCACCGGTAATACACAAATCAAACTAATAGCCTTAGTTTATTATTTATTGCTTCCATGGGCTGGTTAGTCTTTTATGGTGAAGCAAATCCGTAGTCAAGTCAGCAAAACGATGAGATGCTAATGACCTAGCCTTGAATGTCATACAGAAGTATCACACCGAAAGGGTGAGAGTATATAGACGTTAACGTCTGTAATAGAAGGGATCTGATGAAGGAGCAAGAATATACTCCGAAGCATCCCTCATATTACAGACGAAAGTTTGTTCAACGTCGAATGAAATCGTAGTCATTTTACAACTTTAATCTCAAGAAACATAACTCTAATGGGATTCTTCCCCAAGACAGCACACAAATGTGATAGTAATGAAAACACACTCATCTTAAAATGCCATATCATACAGGTATATTTACAGGTTGTAGAACCTCCTGATATCTATATCAGTTCATACAGATGATTATGTTGTCCAGATTGCATATATCAGCTGCAGGACACGTGTGTGATTTATAGCTACAGGACACGTTGGTGATTTATAGTTAGAGGACACGTTGGTGATTTATAACTTCAGGACACGTTGGTGATTACAGGTACAGGACACGTTGGTGATTTATATCTACAGGACATGTGTGTGATTTTTTGCTACAGGACACGTTGGTGATTTATAGCCAGGGTCACACACCGATACATGTATTGGCATCTAAATTCAGACTAATTGATGCCTTCCAGGACATGATCCTGATTCCCACCTACTCATTATCTCGGACACAAATACAGGACACACTGGGTATACTTACATATTGATACCATATGTTTGTCTTCAATATCTGGTTCTTTTCATCAACGTCGAGGATCTGTATGAGTGAGAGGCCGAAGAGGACGTGGATACTGTCGGAGGTGTTGACGACCGGCCGCCCTTCCTTGCCCTGTTTCTTGTAGATGTCCAGAAGCTTCTTGACAAGCTGCTTCTCCTTTGAGGCGATCTTCACGGATTCCATGTCGGAGCTGGAGGCTGGAACAGAAGAGTAAAACAATGCACAATTGTGTTCCTGAACCGGTGATTGTCTCATGGAGTGTGACATAAGGTTAAAACAACATCTAACAGTGGTCTTGATGCAGTGGTTCTGTGTAGCTAGTACTGGTGACAGTCAAGGTGACAGTGCTACCATAACAATGAGACGTGTTGAAGGGTGAGAGGTGGCAACTGTGGTTAGACACTGACACATGCTGAAGGAGGGGGGGGGGGGGGCGAGTGGGGAGAGGAGCCATGTCATCAGACATGGACACACGCTTTGAAGAGTGAGGAGTGGAGAGTGGATCTGGGGTTTGGGGAATTGGTTTGTCAGTACAGACAGACATATTTCTATTACATTAGATGAATGTTAAACACGAATGTTACAGACATCAGAAGAAGAGTCACAATCTTTGTTATTAACTGTAGATGAATTCCAGTCTCGGAATCACCACAGGTCGAGTAGCCAGTAAGCTTCACGCTAACCTTAATTTGCCTTAACAAACATACTTGCATTAGACGTCTCCTGGAAAGTAGGCATATGAGGAAATACAGAGTGTAAAACGGGATATATTACAAGTCCCTTTGATGATGGTATTAGTGGTACTGTGGCTGTGTGTTAATGCAGGAAATAAAAGCTTTACAGTTAGTGGAATCTTTTGACTGAAGATGCACACATTTGTGTGTAGAAAAAAGGTTAGGACATTTGCAAGCTCACTGTATCTGGCATTATAACTTTTTATCGCAGTTGGTCACGAAAGAGAATTCCAACAGTATTACTCCCAACCCTATCTTGTGAGAACAAAAGAAAGACAAAAGATAAATGCATGAGTGCAACATCAAAGCAAGCCATTAGCGCCTAGCTGCATTCCGCCTGCCATAGCTGGAAGACAGGAGTAACGAACACCTCTTGAGGATGGTGGAGGTCAACTTGTCGGCATTTGTAGCTCTTTAGTACACCATCTAACCCTCTTCGTTTCTAGCTATCTGATTTATCTTGGTGGATGAAGTCCTAGACGTTGAAACAATGGCATCATTAATCACATTGCTTGCACAGCCTCTGTCACGACGTCTGTGCCTCCAGAGGATGCCGGCAACGCTAATGCCTCTTAGGACTATCACGTCAGCTATATGTCTTAGGTGCCGGTAATTTTGGCTTGGTCGAGCTAGAAAGGGACCTCTCTCTTATCTGTATTTCAGGAACTTTGGGACCTCCCTATCCATAAGACAACCGTTGCACAAAGGTCGACATCAAAAAGTTTATGAATCACTGTTGGTTTGCTTCGCTGGATCAAGTCGAAGAGTTTTAGTTGGAGGTAAAAAACTGTTGTAGCATGCCATCCAAGTCATCTTTCATGTGACGTGCTATTATTGTATGTAGCTACATGTTCTTTTCAGTGAAGTGCAATGTTTACCTGAAACACACAGGGCGTTCTCAGGGAATGAAACAGAACCGGTTATTGATCAAGGGGCATTAATAATATCTTGAAAATCCTGATAAAGCCAACCAAACACTAACACATTCTTTTCTTGTGAATAATCTATCTTCAAACAAATACCCAATGCACATTCAAGTGCGCTTCATTTCAGTATTCGATGCCTGTTTAACTTTGGTGGAAAGAAGTGTCCAATGGCAGCCTTTCTCCACGAGCTTTGCGAGGAGGCAAGATGAGAGAGTGGACGGTGTGGTATTTACAGACGCCAAGTATTGAGTTAAAGGGCCACTCATACGACATTGTGGCAAGCAGAGCCTAAATCTCAGCTTGACTCTTTGTTGTTCCTAATCCACTTATAATGGCGTCTCGGCCATCTGACTGACACACGGCTATTTTGGTAGGATGCCAGTTCAAATTTGGTTTTCATTTATCAGGCCTGTTAATCTCTCTCCAACAGCACTGTGAGGTGCAAATACTAGCAGGAAGAAATAACACGGCTAATATGGCGGAGGTACCAAGCATAATGATTACTCCGTGATGAGATGCATCCCAGAATATCCCTAGTTTAACTGTTCAATCAATTCTGCGAAGGAGCTTGCTACAAACAACCCAAACTCATTAATATTACTAGAAAACATCCATCTCCGCTTTACAATTTCATTTACTCCTCCGACTTGCCACAATATCCCCATCAAAGTTACCCACGTCAAAATGACACTAATGCCAAAAAATTGAACTTTGATTTTATTTGTGGTCGCCACGTGTTTTGGGAATTGCCACATTTGACGTCTATTATATCTACAGTATTCAACCTAAGCATCCATGCCTTTATTCATCACAGTCAAATCAACCTAAAGTTGATCGCATGCTTTGACTTCAATGAAAACCTGAGAAAAAAGACTGCCTGCTTTCAAGGAAGGCGGATCTGATTCGAATCCAAACATTAAGGTCACGTGGTCTATGTTCCCTACGTTGGCTGGGCTACTTTCCGTCTGGTAAAGACGCCGGCAGCAAATAGAAGCAGGAATTGGAAATATTAGCCTGTCTTTAGTCCTATCAATGTCTTAAACTGGGAATCGGGGTCTTAATTACTGAGGTAATTCGGAGGTAGAAGGGCTCGGTTCCTTCAACACCAAGATGGGCTTAATCCAGCTTCAATCAAGAATTCAACCGCCAGAGACCAAAGCCGAAAATACCAACTGCTTTTTAATCGCTTTGGTTTCGCTCTGTGCAAATGGGGTGCGTTTGACTGTCCCCGAGTAAACATACACTTCGGGAGCCATATCACGCTCCATCTTTCTTTAATGATTTGGAAGAGTGTAAATTTGCCGAGGATGATGGTGGACACCCTGAGCTGCCGCGGTGGTGTCGGGTGTCCACGCCGCTGCACAGACGGGAAGAGAACCTGCCCCGAAGATCAGTGATTAAGTTGTCCTATTGGCAGAGGATCACTCGCGGATTCAAAACACTTCTCCAGTCACTAAAAAAACTCCCGTCTGTCGCCCCGATCGATGGGCAATTAACAGTTCGATCTTCCTCTACTTTAGTGAGCAGCCTCGTGCGCTGTTGAGGACAAGATGAATGCTGAAGAGAGTAAAGTCCCTAGCATCATGGTGGCTGACTCTTGTTATAACTTGGGGCCATTATCTGCAGAGTAACTGAGATTCATGTGAGAAAAGACTACAATAAAACAACGACATGACGGAGAGTGAGAAGACGGACAGCGAGGCATTTGTGACAAGATGACAGTAAAACAACCATCTTGGACAGCATGGGAGAAAAAGGCTGAGACAATTCGCGAAGAGACGTCTAAAAAATCACGACCTGACAGGAATTGAGAAAAGAACTGACGTATGTGTAGAGAGACGACAATAAAACAACCGACATGACGAAGAGAGGGGAAGAGGGACTCACAGCTTTTGTGAAAAGACGACAAGAAAACAAGCAGCTGGATAGAGATCGGTAGAAAAGGAATGAGAGGACTGGGTGAAAAGGCGAAAAAGGTGTCTTGACAGAGATCGGAAGAACAAAGACGCATGCGTGAAAAAGAGACAATAAATAAAAGTGTCAACTTGACAAAGAGGGTTGTGAAGGACTGAAATAACTGAAAAGACGACTATAAAACAAACGACTGATGAGAAAAGCTGAGATGATTGTGACAAAGGCTGAATCAGAAACAGGTTGACAGAAAGGGGGCGAAAAGGAATTGAGACCAGTAAGCATGTTTGACCTGGCGACCGATATAGCCAACGGATAGGGGAGGGAATGAAACGCGTTTGAGACATTATGGCAATGAGACAACTGATCCGATGAAGAGGGGGAGCTGAGAGAGAATATTCTGTGAGTAGTCGAAAATAAAAGAGGACATAGAAGAGGAGAAAAGAACTGAAAACGCGTGAAAGCACGATATTTAAACAACCGACTGGATACAGGTGTGTGTGTGGAGCGGGCAGAATTGTGAATTGCATCAGATTAACTAGAGGCTAATGAGGGCACGCTTTCAGTCCGGTCACAGATTCTAGCTATCAATTCCTATTTGCTTACCCGTCTTAGATCCTTCTAATATCTTCCATCAAGAGCAAATCCTTCCATTGGGCAGTTACGTCCATGAACTAGACACGCCTTATACAGTTTACATAAAGTTCAGTAACAAGAAACTTTGTTCATATGTACCAAAATACTTAGAATATATATATATTAATATTAATACTGAATATGAGCCACTTCTGTATTCAAGCTGATTCCCAATACAGTTCACTCTCTTGGTGTAGTTAGACAATGTTTTCTAAGTGTTTAGCATGTATCATTCACAACAGAATACCATGATGAATTCTCTATGCCTAGTTAGATGACATATGGTACTGGTGAAATGGGGGTTACAGGACAGGTGCTTGATGTAACCGCTTGAAAAGAGGTAAGAAGATCACCAGGGATGATAAATGCTGGAAAGGAAATGAGGGTACAGGAAAGTCGCGAGAGGTTGTACGAGATTGAGACGAGAAAAAGGTAAAGAAAAGTTGTCCGGGATTGTAAGAAACTGAGAAGAGGTAAGAGTACAAGAATGTCAGGATGGATTGTACGAGATGGAGAAGAGGTAAGAGTACAAGAATGTCGCGATGGGTTGTACGAGATGGAGAAGAGGTAAGAGTACAAGAATGTCGCGATGGGTTGTACGAGATGGAGAAGAGGTAAGAGTACAAGAATGTCGCGATGGGTTGTACGAGATGGAGAAGAGGTAAGAGTACAAGAATGTCGCGATGGGTTGTACGAGATGGAAAAGAGGAAAGGGTACAAGAATGTTGCGATGGATTGTACGAGATGGAGAAGAGGTAAGAGTACAAGAATGTCGCGAGGGGTTGTACGAGATGGAGAAGAGGTAAGAGTACAAGAATGTCGCGAGGGGTTGTACGAGATGGAGAAGAGGATAGGTTCCAAGAAAGTGGCGAGGGATTGTACGAGATGGAGAAGAGGTAAGAGTACAAGAAAGTTGCGATGGGTTGTACGAGATGGAGAAGAGGATAGGGTCCAAGAAAGTCGCGAGGGGTTGTACGAGATGGAGGAGAG